GAGAGCTGTAGGAAGTGACTTGAGAAGATAAAAACAACTAATCTGACAAACAGGACAATTCACAGACCTAGACAGAAACCACAGAGTTTCCCATTTCCACTGGGTGCCATCTACCACACTGAGGTACTACCCCACTTCTAGCCACTGCTGCCCACTACAGCAGGGCAAAGCCCCTACTGCAGGCAGACAAAATTGCCATTTCTTTTAATGTGACCTACTCAAATCCAGAGACTGCTCCCTATCTACAAATGAGGAAGCTCCCAGCACGTGGCTAACCACAAGAGCAGTCACTGACAATCACCACCTGATGACTGCTGTCCTCTGCGACCCAAGCTTGGCAGGACTTGGGCAAGGTCTACAAAGCTCTTCTTAACTGGTGCTCATTGCTCCTTTGCTAGCCGCACAGCAGATCCGCCAAGGACGAAAAGGATGGTAGTGACTAAGCTCATCTGCAGTGGTGGCCCTTCCTTCAGCCTGTTCCTAGGCTGGTGCAAACCATTCGTGTGGGCTCTCTGCTTTCAGGACGGAGCTCAAGGCTCTGTCAATTGTGCGCTTTTTATGAGTACTTTTGCTTTTTTGTTTTGAAAAAGTTCATTAAAGAAACCAAGCACTTCTACCATAAATATTCCATTTTACCAAAGAAAATAAGTTTTTATGTAAGGCTATGTATGGTGGGATTATGTGAGGACTCATCTGGCTGCTCTTGCAACGAGGATGGGACCACTCATGCTTCTCTGAAGGTGGTGGATGTGTGCCTTCCTAACAGGGCTAATGAACCTTCAGGAACACCAGCTACTCAGCAAGGCCCAAACTTGCAAGTGAACCAGTCGTTCCCATCTCTCATCCTTCTTCCCTACTGTTAAAGACATCGCTGCCAAAGTGCATGCAACCTACACAGAGCTGCATCTCTAAACTGTTGTGCACTATCACCTGGTCATTTATTTTAAACTTCAGCCTAAATATATGGTAAATTTCCATCCCGAGTTTGCATGGATTTGGCTGCCTGCCCTTACAGACAAGGCTAAATAGGAATAAAAATCAATTACAACACGCAGAAGGGCCAGCTCAGCCTCCATAAAAGTCAGCACGTTGCCTCTTTGTGATCTGTATGTGCTCCTGTCTAAGCTTACTTTGACCGCTCTGGATACCAAACTACCTTAAAGAGAAAACCCTTACCTAACCAGAGACACCCATTACTCAACAAAAACAGTGCTTGCTTTACTTTTCTATGATTTGATGCAGGAACAAATCCCTCCAGTGACCTCTCTTACTCCTTCAGGCACGGATATGAATCGATCAGACTATCAAACACAAAAAAACATCCGCACAAGACAACTCAAGAGTTACGAAACACCACAAAGAAACACATGTGCTCGAAATGGAAAAAGAATAGGGATTATGAACTGTTATGCCAGGTTTTGCAAAGCTGAATACTTATATTCAACAGCCACCAATTAAAAAATGTTAGCTGGTTCCATAAAATCACAGAGCATATACTTCACTGATGAGCCAAAGACATATTCAGTTTATGCAGGTCTACCCTCACTTGCAGGACAGTTCAAAAAGTTCTCAACAGAGTTAGGCTAGAAAGGAGAGGCAATAAGACCAACCCTTCCGTGCAACACGTGCTTTAAAAATAAAAACAAATTAAAATCAACACTTACATCTACGTTTCCTGTTCAATGCAAGGGAGTCTCTGAAATCCAGGAAAAGTAGCACAAATTCAAAACAGAAAAGTATGCTTTCCACAGAGGGTTTGATCTTCTAGAGACCAGGTGACAAGCAACAAAACCCCCCAGCTTTTTCAAACCTTAGCACAAGGCAGAATACCAAGTTCAAGAATTGCTGAACCCAGCAAGGGTTCAGGGTAGCCCCACAGACCTGCCTGTTTTCTCGAGGATTACCTAGAAAGCCACAGACCACAGAAAGACGACTCGTCACTTCTTCCACCAGAGAATGGCCCCTAAGCTAAACAAACTATTGCTGAGTCGTTCTCTCTTTTCCGTTTCGTTCCACTAGTTGCAATTCAGCTTTGGGCTACTGAAAAGTGCATTACAGCTGTAAAATCAGTGTTCTGCTATCAGATATCTCATAGGACCTCAGGGAAAAAAAAAAAAAAAAGAAAGAAAGAAAGAAAGAAATGGGAATCAACCTTGGCAAACTCACTGAGGAGTTGTCTTTTGAAAGAACCGAGTTATCCAGCAGGTCTGACTAAAGCCTGTAAACTTGTGAGAAGAACAAACTGACAAGGAAATAATTTACAGAGGCAACCTGAATGCCAAATCTGTCATATTAATATCTGTTACACGCTCCCTGTGAACTCTTAAACTGGACATGGTTTGTGCATGAAAACGTAATTTATAAACTACATTTTTGGGATGGTCAGCAAATAGCAAGATAGCTATTTAAGTGAGAAGGACAGAATTAAGAAATACAAAGGTGATTTAAATACAGAGATGCTCAGGAAAGGGGGAGCCACACAATCACAGAAAGCAAAGGAGAAGAAATCAGCCAAGCCCTGTTTGATTTTGTTTACTTCTTTGTTACTAAAATTGGAATCCTCTTCTCTGAAGGAAGTTTGAGAGAAGGGAGAGGGAGGGAGAGAAGCTCCTGGCAAGAAAACAAAGGACAGGGAGCTCGAACTCCTGAAGCAATTTCAGGAAGAGCGCCCAGGAAGGAGACCAAAGCACCCCCAACCTCTACAAACTAGTCACAGCTTTGAAGCAACTATGGGATCCTCTCACTACGAAGTGTTAGCATTGCTTAGAATTGTTTTTCGCTGTTGTGCTCTTCTCTGCTATTTCCAGTCTTTCATTCAAGAATTTAACCCAATTTGCTAGAATAGGAACAGTATTAAGGCTGCCCTGTGCTTAAAATTGCCTATTGATTAAAAATGAACTACTTGATTATCATAGTTTTTAAACAGAGGCAATTTAAATAAACTGGATTTAGAGAAAGCCTTTGGGTTACACGGAAATCAAGACAAATTTAAGCTTATCAGATATTAGCAAATATATACACACACAGCTGGATTATGAGGGTAACAGAGACAAAACACTCCTTTCCAAACTGACCAAAAAGCGAGAAGAGAGTTATTCCTCTTTCCTAAGAAGATGAGCTTTGGAGCTTCAGCTTTCTGCAAATTACAGCTCTACCCAAACAGCAGCAAACTAATCCATGGCTGTTTTCACACGCGGCCACTGACATGGAAATCCTGCCAAGCCAAGTCAATGTCACTTTGCACAGACCTGCAAAGAGACCTTTCAACCCGAACAGTGGCGCTGCTAAGTTGTTGCACTGGGTACACCCTGGGGACGGGTTCACTTTTTCCCCTTTTGCCACACAGCAGAAATGGAAATCTTAAAGGCAAAGAGCTGAGACTGGAGTACATTAACGGAGAAGAGCAGATATTTTATTACTTACCATGAAAATCAAAATGAAGTATCACAAGTTAAAAGAAAACTGCTCCCCGAAGCATGAAGATTCACCTGCTGTCTTGAATAAAGGCTGCATTTTTCAGCAGCAGTGGCATTGCCAAGAATTAGCCATGTGGAGTTGAAATAGCTAAGTGGAAAATCCTGTCTCTAGCTCAACCCCAAGTTAAAGACTTTAGAGATAATTTTGCTTAAGCTCTTGTTATTGGAGATTCCTGCAAGAGTGTTCTGAGAAGCTTAAACATGGCCATTGCTTGCAGAAATTTCAGGAACTATTGAAAGCCATACAACGTTTGTCTTCTTCATTTCATTTCTGCATGAAATTCTGTTTCACTCTGGTCAAGTTATAAACTAGATTAAATAAAAAATATCTATTTGATCCCTGAAACCTGGTTCTGCAAATTTTTTCATCTGGAGCAAGGCACAGGGTCAAGGTCTCCTCTAAGAAAGGTACCAGCTGGGCTCCAAATACCGACCCTAACCTTCCACCGACCACGCATCTCAAAGGATCCTGCCCTCCCTGCCTCCTGGAGACACAGGGCAGAGGCCAGGGATTGGGGCTGCCTTTTCCATCCTGTGCATCTGCTATACGACAGTGGCAGCTCACACCCTTCCCCCTGCTGCGGCTCGTACACTCACTCCCTAGAGCCCTGTGCGAGCAGCTGCACCCACATCTGAAGGCAATTCAAAGTTCTGTCTGCTTATAAAAACGATAAAATTCATACAAAAAGTCTAATTTACAAGTAATTTACCTATATATCTACAACTACATATTCAGAAGACAAGGACTTCCAGAAGGTCACCTAGCCCATTTTCCCACCCCATGGTGCAAACTAACTCCCCTAGGCCAGACGGGCCTCCTTTGACTTCCCAGCTGAGCCAGCTTTGAGCACGGGTTTGCACTAAGTGACGCTCTGAGGACTCTTCCATCCTGAACCCACCTGCAACTTCTCAAATGTTGATACTTAAACAGACAAGGCAGCTGCTCTAGATTTACATTAACACACATATTTGTAGCCTTCTTTAAAAAAAATGCCAATCTTTTATACACAGACTGAAAAGGAGCGAAGGACAGCATACATGCTGCATTTTAGGTATGTTTGGGTAACATTTATTGACTAGAACTTCAGCACTGAACATCTGAAAAAAGAAGAGTGCTTTTCTGTAATTATGGGGTCTTTTGAGATGCAACCTACAAGTCTTACTTGAGCCCCAATAATATACTCCTGTACTACCGCACCAATAAGTAGCTGGTGCCTCTCTCGGCACTATCTTTACTAAGTCAAGACGTGCAAACGAAAACCTGCATGCTTTACTGAATTTTAAAAAACGCTGTGTGTATGCAAACATGTTGCAGACTTCTTACAGTTTACAGAAAACCACACAGTTTCACACTGAAAAGATCTGCTCCAGCATGATCTGTGGGGCACCATTACATCATTTTTTTCAATATTACGATGTCTACATTCTCACACTTTATTGTCTCTAACAAATTCCAACAGGTTCACTATAGCCCAGATGGTTACTGGGAGGCACTTTGCAGTTTTTCACTTATTTCTAACTTACCTTCTCTCCACTGGAGTAGAAGAAGTAACGCAATCGGACAATGTTACAATGATCCAATTTCCTCATGATCTGGAGCTCTCGGTTCTGCAACAAAAGAAAAAAAAACAATTAGGAAACTTCTTTTCTTGGGAAGAGGGCTATAATGGACACTTCAACACAGAGCCGCCAGATTTGGCAAAAATAGGGAACCAAAAAACTACTGGAAACTGAAGAGAAAGGGGAAACAGCTTTCTTGCTGTATTAGCCTCTCTTCCAATTACTTTACCACTGAGAAAGTATCTACACCTTTGAGTGCATTTCTCCCCAAACTAAAGGTCCACAAACCATCGCAAAAATCCAAGAATCAAAATTCTATCACCGAGTTTCAGAAACAAGAGCAAGAGAACTTCAGCTTTCCAGTTTTATTTTCTGATCTTTCCATAATATAGGACATCTGCCAAAGCAGCTAGAATTCTTTCCACCTGAATAATGTAGAAATTACTTAAATAATGTAAAAGTAAACCTGTGGAGAGTTTAACTTTATTGCTGTTCAACCAAAGCTTAGCTAGATTGAGGAAGACAGAGTAACTGTGCTGCTTTCCTGTTTTGCATCAATCTGAAAAAAAAACAACCAAAAAACAAAAAACAAAGATGTTGAAACCAAGCGCCACACGGCGTCTACCACTACTACTAACACTGGAGGACCTCTGCAAGAACCGCACGGAGCTTCTTCCTAATGCAGACACGATTACCAACTCTGCTTTCGATTGCTCTAAGCCACGAAGCCTTAAATAAGAGGTGCTAGATAGGATGCTCTAGCATTAATCCTATCATCCTTGCCACCATCTGACCAAAAAGAAAAAAAACTTCAGCGTTATCCAGCTCTTTGCAAACATGAGTGCCACCCCGCACAGTTATCAGCTGGCGGTTATCCAAGTGGTAGCTCCAAAGAGGAAAAACCCCTCCCTAGGCCAGCCTGGCTCCCCTGTTGAGCAAAACCCCCGTCTGCTGGGAGCACACTGAGAGGAGCCACTTCTGTCCCTGGGGCTGTCTCTGTTTTTTTAATGCATATTTGGAGGGGGAGGCAAAACATTTAATGCTATTGCTGCAAGACCGAGAGTAATACTCGAAGTGCCGGTACCTAAATCTAGACCTAGCAGCAAATTCACTGAACCTCTAAGGGGAAATAATTTCTTCCTCTCTTTGTTCTGCCAGCTGTAAAATGGGAATAATACTTTTTTATCTCCGTGAATGACTGAAAGAAACGTGAATGCACTAAGTACAAATGTGTAAATATTATTTCAGCAATATCTCTACTAGCTCTTTAAAATACACATATACGCTGTAACTCAAGTTATCGCCTCATGTTCTTAAGATAGTACGTATACCCTGATTGGATATGCTGGAAAAAAAAGTCAGCAGAAGTTATTCTAACGCTGGGCTGAAGTTATATTTACACTCTGGTATCTCATTCTAGCATAAGCACAATCTGTGCCCACACTGATGCCTTCCACTCTGATCCATCTCCTTAGGCTCTTACCCTGACCATCTGCTGCAGCTTCAGAAACGCTGCTTCAACAGGAGGTAATATCTGGGGAGCTCAGCAACTACTTACACAGTAACCTATATGTTCCATCCTAGAACGATACAGAACGCAATAAATTAAGGTTATCACTTTACTCAAGTTTAAAACCAGTGGATTTTTAATCACTGCTTCCTAGGGGAGTTCCTATTGGAAATACCCAAACAGGAGCACAGCTAGAGCTGAATGCTGTGGCAGGAAGCACAGCTACTAAAGTTAAAAATAATAGCTTGATGCTTTTAACAGCTCACTCTTCTCAAATTAATTCTTCGAGCTATGCGCTCTCTACTACATACTTCCCTCAGCATAACTTAAACAGATAACAGCCATTTCACATTATAATGTGGGCTATTACTTACTAGCGCACAAATGCTTTGGGAAAAAACAACACATACACACACACACACAAAAAAAAACAGATTATAAACAAGGAGCCTAACTAAAGAGAACAGGAGAACAGTGACAGATGTCCCACACTGAGTACAACAGATAAAACGCATGTCTAAATATAATGCAAACTAAAACAATTTCAAAATATGCTGATTAGAAAGGCTGACAGCGCACGATCAAAATACAGGGTGGCTCAACACGCAAAGCTTTTGCTTATCCTTAACTCATCATTTCTGCCTCCCAAGACCGTAATGAACGGTCAGATTCAAAGGGGAAGTTACTCTCCTCCCTCTTCCCCCATCCACTCGCAGGAAGAGAGAAGTTTAATTTTCATAGAAAATGAGAATTTGGGGCCTGTAAGCACTGAAGAGAGCATGACCTGTCACCCTGCCACAGCAGCCAATCCTGCAGCTTGGTTTATCCAGACGCAGAGCGCTCCTAAACCCCATGTTCTGCAGGGATGAGCAGAGCCAAAAGGACTATGAACTCAGCCCCTTTTGGTCACAGTTTTAATTCTTTATCCAAATCCAGAAGTGAGGGTTGCTCACAACCCTGGCAGACTGTAGCTCATTAATTTAAGCCCTGCCTTAACTAGGGAAGCAAAGAGACCGCCTGTTCATTGCGCTACAGAAACCCGACTGCTCTTTAGGTGTTGTCATTAAAGATTGCTGGGACATCATTGGTTTTATAACTTTAAAACCCAGCCAGTAAAGCTCATGCACAAAGACTCATGCCTTTCCCCAAAGGGGACCCCAACATCTCTGCTCGAGATGCCGTTGACACAAGCAGGCTGTATCTGTCTTAACATTGGGACCTGCCACTGCAGCGTGTGAGAAGCAGCTGACAGATGGGACAGCAGCAACACAAGCACTGCCGAATTTCTCTTTACACAGAGAAATTGTCATCCCCGCTTGTACGGGGCATGTTCACAGATTCTTCCCCTCTTCTGCCTCTATCATCATTTTCTCCACTCTCCCACAAAATGAGTGCTGTGATCACTTTGAACTTCCACCAGGAAACCAAGTAACCCAAACAAGTCTTCTAAGAAGCGTTCAAGAGACGTGTACTTTAGGCACTTAGGGCCATGATTTAGCAGGCACAGCGGCGATGGGTTTACAGTTGCACTTGATGATCTTGAAGGTCTTTTCCAATTTTAATGATTCTAAGATTCCATTTTCTTCAACATGGCTTTCTCAGAGGAACAAGCTGAATCTGGTTTCCACAAGGAAGCCAAGGGGAAAAGATGAAGCAAATAGGATCCACATACACACTTATATGAGAAAAGCCTCAGCGACCGCCCACTCCCACTTACCCACGTTCATGCTCTGTGCTGCTGCTGAGCCTCGGGAACTGCTCGGGGCTCAGGCCTTTGGAGATCTAAAGCAGCTTCAGAGCAATTTCGAGCAGTTTCTCCTCCCTGCCTGTCTCCCAGCGCAAGGACAAGGCCGGACTCCAAGCACAGGGCGTCTGTCCCATGCCCAGCAAGGTCCATTGCAGGCAGCCCCGCTCAAGCCAGGCAGGGCAGCTCGTGACACAGCGCTTGAGCCGCGTCTCCCGGGCTCGGCTCCGAGACGCACGCACAGAAACGCCCTGCGCCGCGGCCAGTGCGCTTCACGTAAGCTGCCCGGGGCACAGAAATAGCCCCAGATAGGTTACCAAGATCTAGATGGATCATCAAGATCAGCTTATTTTCCACTAATATCATTAGTAAAGCTCCAATCCTAATATCTGCTTTATCATAAGCTTAGGAGGACAGACTGTGTAAGAAGAAAAGCTGCACCACACCTTTGCTAAAAATCCGTGGAGTGGCCCAAAGTGCACCTCCAAATACATGTTTCAGGAGGATTTTAACAGTGCTCCAACACCAAAAGAGTTACAGGAACTATTCTCTGCCTCACAAACCCAGATCCATGATCATTCAGTCATTTGACAGGGTAAAGCTCAATTCGTATGTGTTTTTTTCTGTATTTGCCCCAAGCCATAAAAGTGTTTGGAGGAAAAAAAGAGAAAGGCAAAAGTAGGTCTTAACTACAGAGGCCTGATGTGGGCACCCGCCCGCCCCAGCCACCCATGGAAAGTCCAATTTGCAGGCAAGCCAGCTCAAGCACAGATAAATGTCGACACGCATCACAGTTCTCCTCCTTTACATTTGAGGCTTGGATCAAGTCAAATTACCAAGTCCCCTCTTCCCCTCGAGCCATGGCCTATTTCCAGCGCCAGCCGATCCGAACTGGAACAGTCTCCCTTCGCAGGAGAGACTCGTAAACTCCAACAAGTGAGAAGGCCTCAAAAAAGAAAAGAAAAAAAAAAAAAAACACCACCAAACCAAACACTTTAGTGAGCACAAAGCAGTAAGTCTCAAGCTCATATAATTAATTTTCTACCCACGAATACCAACAGGAGAACACTCTTTATTAAATTTCACTATTTAAGACAGACTAAGAGCAATAATACCACAGCAGCAGCCATCCAGTGTCATGCCTGTCCTTTTGTGATCGTTAAGTACCGGCAGCCTGGCAGGATTAAAGCATGGGTCAGAGTCCAGAAACTTGTGTCCTGCTCCAGCTTTTGTAACAAACATGCACGAAAGCAGCTTTGGGGATTACTGTTTGCAAAAGCACGACGACATTCATTATCAAAAAGGTACAAGGTCCACGTGTAACATTAATTAGCACAGTGCTAATGTTCAGGGATCCCCTCAAAAGCCATTGATGACAGCAATCAGCAGCATAAACTTGCTACTTTAAATATCCCTGCACGCCCCAAAACATGCATATGCGTTATTTTCACCTCTTCCAGGAATTCCCAATCTTCCTAAAAGGGCAAACCCAAATGTGAAGCACTTGCACAATATTAAAACGATGAATTCCGGTGTGTCATACAAGCGCGACCAGCAGGGAGAGGCAATGCAGGGGCCCCACAGAAAGGAAGGACGGGGCTGGATGCATCTCCACGATGCTCATGGATGTGCAGGGTCACATCCCCTTCCATGCTGTTGCGTAACTAAAAGCAACGCAGCAAAGGCACTTCTCTCCCTACCCAATGCCACAACAAGGTCACAAAGAACTGCTTGTTAATATCCCGGAGCAACAGACGATTGAGAGGGCTGCAGAGGAAAACGTTCTTTGAAACG